TACAACTATAGAAATTAGCCTGTGTCCGAGGTTGGACCCGATAACCGCTCTTTTAGAACCTTGGCTAATAGTAATTTTGATGCTAATGTAATCTAGATATGCTAATTATTATGCTAATGCTAATTATGATTGTAATTCTAATATTATCCAAATCCTTATCGTATTCCTAATTCTATTCATAACACTGATCATAGTTCTAATCCTAATCCTAATCATAATCCTATTCCTAACACTAATCATAAGCCTAATAATTTTAATACTAATAATACTAATGTTAATGCTAATGCTAATGTTAATTCTAATTCTAATCTTAATTATAATTCTAATCCCAAACTTAATGCTAATCATAATTCTAATACTAATACATGTCACTAATTATCGTACTAAGCATAATCATAATCTTAATTATAATTCTAATACTAATATTAATTATAATCCTAATATTATATTAATCATAATTACAATTTGAATCCTATTTCTAGTATTAATACTAATACTAATTCAAAGAATTATAATTATAATTATAATTATAATTATAATCAAAAATTCTAATTTTGCAACAATTGTTTTTGCAATGATCTATTATTTAGTATAAAAAAAATAATTCTATTCAATCTCGAACATTTATATCAAATTTCTTATGTGTGGTAGTTGAACCATAAAAAAACACATATTAAATATATTAGAAATTAATATTTAATTATATTATCAAATTGACATTAAAATTATATAAAATATTATAAGGGTATAAGCAAACATTAAGACGTAAAAGAACAATAATCATTGTTAATAAGATAAATTATGAAAATCCTCCTGAACTTAGACTAAATTACAGAAAACACCCCCACTTATCGGTGATTACTAAAATTCCCCTTATGTTTGTCTATGTCTTACACAACCCCCTTATGGTGTGATTTTTGTACGGAATCTTTTTTATTCTATATAATATCCCAAAAAATATGGAGTCTACCCTTGCAGACGGGACATTTCTTTTATCATACTTTTTAAACTTAAAAATTACCCTCAGGGGTGGTCATGGTAATAATACAAAATTGTGAAAGTGTTATTTAAGAAGAATAAATATTTCGTGTAAAGTTCACCTGAGGGTAATTTTTGTATTTAAAAAGTACCATAAAGAAATGTCGTGTGTGCAGGGTATAATAAGCATGCATTATTGGAATATTTCACGTAATAAAAAAATTCCTTCAAAAATCATACCATAAGCGGTTGATGTAAGAGGGAAATAAACATTAGGTAAATTATTAATATAAACTATATACGGCAAGAGCACTTCGAGTGAGATTATTAAATGAGCTATCAAAACATTTAACCACCATTTTTATTCTCCAAAATAATAATTTTTAATTCCATTAGATTTATGAAATGAGGTATTTTGATATTTCATCTTTCAAATGTAAAAATACATTATGCAATCATGGTGAATAAAATATCAAACATGAGTTATGAATTCAACCACCTCAGTGTCCATTTAGAAAATAACATGTGGCAATTAGATATATTTAATTAACAACGATTTAATACCTATGGTTGGAGCAAATACATTTATATAAATATCAAAATAAAATATTAAATAGCACATAAATATTTGCAAACTCATTTTGATACTTTTGGGTTAGTGTTGATCTAGATATTTCCATAATTATATTTATTAGAGTCATAATGAAATCCTTATTAGTGGAATACAATATATAGTATATACGATCATTATACATTTTAAACAAAACAATTGATATTATTAATGTTAGCCATTAAATAAAAATGAATTTAATACCAAAGATTTAGAATTATTATATTTTGAAATATATAAAATCAATTCGTTTTTTTATCAATTGATTAAACTTAGCTTAGGTCATTCAATTTATTAGTATAATCATGATAAAATTTGTATTTTAATTAGTATATAATTTAAAAAGTTAAATCAATCGTAAAATTTATTGTCACTGGATTCTTCAGTGAAGAAAAAAATAATTATTTAAATAATAACATGAAATTCATGTAGTATAATTTTCAATATGATAAATAAGTGGGAGTACATTACTCTACACATGGCATAACAAATGGCGTCAATTTTCGCAAGATAGTAAATTCAAACACATATCTATCTTTTTTTACAGATAATATTAATATATAATAGTAAATTAGTAAAAAAAATACATATTCTCTAGTCATGTTCATGTAAAATGTATAATATCAAATAATTTATTCTACAATATTTGTTTTAATATAAATCAAAGTTTATGAATTAAAATTAAAAAAATTCGTAACACCACCAATCATCCAATTATAATAAGAGAAGATTTTAAATCGAATTTAACTAAATTAAAATTAAATTATTTATAAAATTAAATTCAAAAATAAATTTATTTAGGGTTTCCAAAAAAGTTGATATATTTAGAGCATTTTATATATGGTAGGATATAAATATATTAATAAAATAATTAAACATATTTAACTATCTTTAATTTTGGAAAATGATGACATGTTTTTTGATGATTTATTTCGACCAACCAATTCGCCACTTGGGATGAAATTGAAGACATGTCATCAATTGAAATTGCCAAATGTCAATCAATTAGCTATGCAATTCAACTTTTATATATTATATAGATATAGATATTTAAATCGATTAAGCTCTAGTCCTTTCAATTTCTTTTTCTTTATTTTAATTTTTTTATTATATAAATTTTTTTCAATAATTTAATTAACATTATTTAATAATAATGAATATGCTAATTAATAATCTATTTAACATTATTTATTATAATTATTTTACACTTTTTATTTATGATATATATAGTGTTGCTAGTTACTGTAATAATATTTTCTATGTCACAGTGGTTAGGGTTGCTATTTATTTTTAAACAACCCGCGTTCGACCCTCAACCATGTCATTTTTCGAATAAAAAATAAAAAATCTGTCATGGATCCTGCCCGAAACCGTCATGACCCGCTCCGGTCCGGACCGAATCTGCCTCCCCGCGTGGGTTGTGGTTTCGTGGGCCACAAAACTCGGGCCAACTATTAAATTTGGAAGCAACACCCTATTAAGGGTATAAATGGTATAATCTTTCAAAAATAATAAAAAAATAATAAAAAAATAGATTCTGGTTGGCCAGAATCTGGCTATTTAGCAATGTCCTATATATAGGCCGGCCTCTTGGAATTGAGTATAGGAATCCACATGGTTTTCTTTATTATTGTTGTTGTTAAGCTTGTTCCCAGTTTCTATCTAGGGTTTGGTGACATTGAGTTTTGGTGGCGGCGGCGTTGGAATATTTGACACGGCGGAGTAGTAGAGTTTGGTATTAGTCACTAGCGGAACTTGATAGGTGCATGGGGGGGTTTGACTCCCCAAGGAATTTTTTTTTTTAGATATTTGGTACTAAATGTTTTGAATATTACTTTTGACCCCTCAAAGTTTTTGTAAATATTTCTCTTGACCCATTATTTTTTTTTTTCTCCAAAATCTTATATAAATTATAGATAAATATATCATATTTAATATAAAATATAAAATAAGATGGTTAAAACTTTTATTATTTTAAATAAAATTTATGAATATTACTTATTTTTTAATTTCTTTTATCTAACGCCTTAAAAAAAAAGATGAGACCGTGCCATGAATCTCCAAAATATTAAGTGCAGTATATTATCAGAATAATTTGAATTAATTTAGAAATTTTTTTGATGATTAAAATATGATACATAAACAAATTCAAACTAACTGTACTGTACTGTATTTTTGTGAAAAATGAATTATTAAGTATAAATAATATCAATTTAAAATATTAATCCAATCCAGCACGGCCCGCTAGATAGGTAATTGTGGGCTAATCCAGCCCATTTAAGCCAGTATTTACTCGAATTGGGCCGTTTGACAATCATATCTACTGCAAATAGTGGTTTTTTTTTCTTTTTCTTTTATTTATTTCATTTATTTATATACAATGTATAAACATTAATGTTCTGAAAATCGGTCAAGGCGGCCGAATAATCGATAGTCGAGGCGGAGCCGGACCCAAACCATTACAAGGGTTTGAAAAAACGTTTTTTTACATGTGAGGCGGTCAAACATTAGAGGCAGGTCAAACCTTTGAGATAAAAATCATAAAAAATTCCTTTTTCTTTTATAATCTAGAAGAAATTAGGGCTTTTAGCTCAAACCGTCGAGCGGCTCTATTCTTCCCTCTCGACTCCGTTCTTCCCGTAAGAAAGAATGCAAGGCCGTGCTAACCGAAAAAAGCCAAAATCGGCGGCGGTGCTCTACGAATCAACGAGGATAGAACCTTGACTAATACACATTGGTGATGAACACTCGAGAGATAAAAAAAAAATGTCTTTTATGGCTTTAAATTTATATTTAAACATTTAAAAAAAGAGAGAGAATGGTCCCTAGCTAACATTAAACAGTAGTAGTTATTTGTCACCTAAATACATAACTTTCCGGGCCATTTGAGTACTGACCACTCAGTATCAACCATGTCGGTGTCTGAATAGTCCTCACTGTTCTTCCGTACTTTCCGGCCCAATTGAGATATATAAGTGGCTAGGATTGCCATGCCTGCGTGTCGGCGGTTTTGCAATATCCGCTCTCGTTTTAGATGTAAATCTCGGAAATTAAATGCTACACCTGATTATTTACATTGGTCGTAAAATTCACCCAATGTACCGTCTATATCTCGTGTATATCGAAGAAAATTGAAATTCTCGAACAAGGAAGAAATATTTTAGGAGAGACCAAGTACAAAGAAGAAAAGATCCTAGTGAATAGTGAGTAGTGACTACGTAATAAGTCCACCTCTTGTGGTCCAAAATATTTTATTCTAGACTATTTCTGCACTACTACAAGTCAAGCAAAAACTGCACAATTCAACAAAATCACACAGTATTCAAATACGTGGATTAAGACAATAATAAATAAAATACTCAACTGTCTTCAAACAATACTTAATTTTAGTATGATGATTTTTAATTTTATTTTTTTATTTATTGAAATATGTTACTAATTTTAAGATATGTTCTAAGATAATACGCGTTCAACTGTGACAGCAGACCAATAAACAAAACGGAGAATACCCCATTTAATGCTGCACTAAGCAGTTTCATCCTTATGCCAAGTCTCCAATTAACTCAAAATATACTTACCATCCACGAAACTTCTTTCTTCCCCCCCTCTCAATCTACTATAAATCAAACAATTTAGGACCATTTTCTTTACTACACACAAAAAGCAAACCCACAACACAAAGGAAAAAAATGGCAGTTGAAAGGAGAAAGGGATTCACGGTGCTCAAACAGTTAATCAAGAAACTGCAAAATCACCTTCATCTCTCGAGAAAGCTAGATATACTGCTTAGAGGGTTCGAATGCGAAGAACAAGAAGAAGAAGCGGTGCCGTTTGATGTTAAGGAAGGGCATTTTGCTATAGTGACAAAGAACGATGAAGACAAGCCGATTAGGTTTGTGCTGGAGCTTTGCGTATTGAAACATCCCGGGTTTTTGAGGTTGTTGAAAATGGCTGAAGAGGAATACGGGTTTCAACAGAGGGGTGCTCTTGCCGTGCCATGTCAGCCTGAGGAGTTGGAAATGATTTTGCAGGCCAAGATCTTGGCTTGCTGAAATAACAAAAATCGTCGATTCTTTTTTTTTTTTTTTTTTTTTTTGAGATAATTCATATGTATAGAGGATAGATTCAAGAAACTGTGGCCTGAAAATAGACAGATATTGACATGTGTACACCTACTCTTGCTTCTTGCGATTTTATCTTCGTTTCTGGAATATCTTGCATATATATTTATCGAATCGAAAGCAATCATCTTTCAATAGACAAAATACGAAAAATGCAGATTAACATGCTATGGAATCATAATACGAGAAGTCTAGAACATAAGAACACATATGAAGGAAGAAAACTTAAGGGAAGTAGACTGGCCAGTTGAAGTAGTACGAGTCTCGAACTTTTTTGGGCATCTTATTCCACTGTCACAAAATGAAAATAAAACACGAGCGTTAAAATCAAATTCCGAAACGATTTGTCGAAAAAATAAATAAAAAATAATTCGAGTACATAATAACATGAATCTCAAAATAAGTAAAATACCTGAAATTCATATGGTTGCTTCTTCTCCTGTGCTTTCTTCCAGTGATACTGTTCAAACAGCATTGCTTTGTCGTGCCAACTGCATCATAAAACCGAACATGCATAAAACGACGGCCAAAAAGGGAGATACGTGAAACTGTCAAATAGTCCTCAATCCAACTCAAAGCAAACATCTTCTCGAAGATATAAAGGAAATAAGTAATATTAGTGCTAATTTTGGCAGAACTGAATAAATTTCTAGTTCGTTACGCGAGTGCATTATTTCCAAGCAAATATTAGTCAACAAGCAGTGACATCTGATATCGTTCGATGGCGAGGACAAATTCGAAATTTCAGATGTTAATCGTTGCATATTCATGGAAACAGCTTGTGGGATTTGATCACGAATCACAACGAGAATCAATAGGTATATATAACTATGTGTCCTGGAATCGAGTATAGGATGTAAAGCTAGCCAAATACTGTCCTAAATGGATAAAGGTCCACGTAGACTTTTTTTTTCTTTTATATGTCGGATAAACTACTTGTGCCAACAAGAAAAACGTATCGATCAATAGTTCGAATTTTAACAGCGCTCAAACTGTGTTGGTGCAAGTTTGTACTGTCTACATGATTTCAGAAATACATTGCTATTTTACAGTAATAACATATTTTAGATGCTCGATATTAAATGTTTGATATCTCTGCTGCATAGCAAAAGATTGTACATAACTCACATTGTTCCATAAATGCGTCTATTACTAAAATCTGCAGAATGTGCCGGTGGAAATTCTCAATACTGATAATAAAATGGTATCGAAACTAATTGTAGTCCGATGCTGAATACGAGGTTTTGATTCACTAATACTGAACACTAATTGTAGTCTAAAATATTATGTTTGCTAATCACATTACCAAATCAGGCAATATCACAAGAACAAAAAAACACTTAGGGTTTACAACGCACAGTACAAATTGAAATGAATAAATTAGCCAATAAATGCATCTGGAGTCCAAGGAAATCGCTTCGAAAATAAGAATAAAACACAGATTACACTCTTTTGTGTGTGTGTGTGTGTGTGTGAATGAGAGATAAGGAAAGGGGAATTACTTGAATTGGTTGGAGAGCGTCCACATGTAAGGGTTGATCCAGGTGAGGGCGGAGAAGGCGGCCGACCCGACCCATATGTTCACGAACCGGTCCGGGTCGGCGTGAGGTACTCCCGGGTCGCCCCGGTATGCATTTCCAAAGTACTTCTCCATTTCTGCGCGATTTTCTTCTCTCTGTTACTTCTTCACTCTTCTCTTCAGCCCTCGCCGTGTGTCTTCCCTTATCTAATTTATCTTTCTTCGTGAGTGCCCTTTTCTGTCATTTCACATACGCAATACAAATATGTATTTGCAAATTTTAGTCCAAGGATAAATTACAACCACCCTGAAGTAGGTATGGTCAAATTACGAAAAAATCATTCTTGTTCGAATAATTATATCTATCCTCATTATGAACTTTCTTACACGTTCATCCTTATGGTGTCGAAATTCAACATAATCATCTAGATTCCGTGGAATGTGCTCTAGTTTGTACTCGTTTTGTGTAAAAATACAATTTGTGATGCACCACAATCTGATATATAAAAGTTAAAAAACACATCTTATGATCATCTTGCTTCAAAATATGGAGCTCGAATAGAATAAAACGGGTACAAAAGTGACAATATTCCATATAATTAAGAAGATTTTACTAAATTTGGAACCGCAAAGGTAGACGTATAAGAAAAATAATAGTAGAGAGGCATTGTTGTAATTACCCAAACAGAAGAGGGATTTTTATAATTTTACCATACCTAGGGGTGATTGTAATTTACCCTTAGTAGAATTATGGAAATATTTAGAAAAAAAATAGTGAAAGTATTAAATGAGTAGTAGAAATTTGCAATTTTGAATTTTCAATACAAACCTTGCATTTTGAAAGTCATGATATATATGTATATAACAAAAATTAAAATTTAGCAACTTCATCTAAGTTAGGAATCGAACCCTGCACCTTTAAGGAATGACGGAATTACTCAACCAGTTGAGCTACAAGAAAATTTTATGAAAACGACACATGCAAACATAAAATATATTTATAAACAAGGGAATATTTAAAAAAGAAAATCAACTTGGAAGTTGGAACAAATTCCCCCGCAAGTTATAAATACACGACTTCGTTAGTTAACAAGAAAGAGACTAATCTATTTCAATTTTAAATAACCAGCAAATCTTTCATTAACCGCCCTTCTCAGCTAATTTCCAAATCTTTGCGTAAACCCTCGATGGAGATTTTCGTTAAAACCCTCACCGGGAAGACGATTACCATCCACGCCGGCATATTCGATACCGTCGGCGAGATTAAGGCCAAAATCCACCTCAAGGAAGGAATCTCCCCGGACCAACAGAGGCTCATCTTCGGCGGCAAGCAGCTCGACGATGCACGGACGCTCTCCCATTCCGAAGTCCGTAACGAGTCAACGTTGCACTTAATTCTCCGTCTACGCGGCGGCATGCAGATCGTCGTCAGAAACCTGTACGGCATATACCTCACACTCAACGTCGACGGTGACGAGACATTCGACGATCTGAAGTAATTGCGCTTGCAACCCGAGTTCCATATCCAGCCCTTCGCCCAAAGTTTCGCGTATAAAGGCCGTAAAGTGGTGGCAGAAGGAACATTGGCAGACTCCGGCATTGATGCGGGTTCCGTACTCGTTCTATACAGAAGCGGATTACTAATCAACGTACACATAGAGAACCGCGATATTCATATGACAAATCTTCAAGTTGAAACGGCAGAAACCGTGAGGAGCGTAAAGGAAAAGATCGAGAATAATCGACATATTAGGCGAGAACTTCAAATATTGCAATGCGATGGAGTAGTTATGGAGGACAGGTATTGCTTATACAGATACCCAATCAACGAATATATATGGCTCGTACTTGATATCTCGATGCTGTCTATCACATTGAAAACCCTGACAAATGAGAGGGTTGAATTGATACTCGACGGAGAGATGTTAGTCGGTGATTTAAAGTCTCGTATTCAAGTGGCGATGAATTTTCCGAGAGAACAACAGGTTCTGATTTACGAAGACTACGTGCTCGCAGATCATAGGGATTTCAATTTTTATCGAGTTCTTAGCGGGTCTGTGATCTATTTGATAATAAGGCTACGTACGAGGAGGGAGGACTAGGGTTATCTTTTTTCCGATCCCGATCCCGGAGTATAATCTTTGTTGTTGTTGATGTTGAAATTAAGCTTGGTTTATCGAATACGATTGGCAACTAAAATTGTATTGAGTTCGGAGTGGGTCTTGTTTTTTTAACTTTTTGTCGATCCAATATATTTTCGGTGTTATGTTGATGGTCTTGTTTTTTTAACTTTTTTTCCATCCAATATATTTCCGGTTTTGAGTATAATTTTGTTATGTTAGATGTTCAAAAGCTGGGGGATAATGGATTATGATTGTTAATTTTTCGGTTTATTTTCCGGAGTGCGAGAATCCGGTCTCGATATACGTTACAAAACGATTTCCGGCGGATTTCCGTTGGAATTCGATCGAGCTCCTCATACGGATGAGTTTTGGGAATTCATGCTGAGTGAGAAAATAATCCAGGCTAATCCAAGTTTGGCTCATTTCTTGGCTACCACTTTGGCCTTCTAACAGAAAATGGACATAGCTTATGGGCTTCTACTTAGTGAAATAGATTTTATTTGGGTGGTTCAAGGAGATAGTTTCGATTCTTTTATGGATAATTTTAGGGTTGAAAGTAAAGAAAAGGGGCTTATAATTCCGTGGTGCGATCAAATTAGGGTTCTTTCGGATCCGGCTATTGGGGGATTTTTCACACACTGTGGGTGGAATTCGATACCGGAGAGTGTGTGGTGTGGGGTACCGATGATTTGTTATCCGTTAGAGTATGATCAACCGACTAATCGGAAATTAGTGAACGATGATTGGAAAATTGGGATTAGTCTTTGGTGATTATAGAATAAGTGTTGATCGAAAAGAAGTTGCTAAGAAGATTAAGAAGTTGATGAGTGGAGATTTGAAGCATGAGGTGAAGAAAGTAAACAGGATATTGGAGAATGATTTGGGTGCCGTTGGATCTTCGGAGCGAAATTTCGATCAATTTACGAAGCATTTGAGGAACAAATTATTTGTCAGTGACTAGTGAAATATTTCATTTGTATTTGCTTAAATTAAAATCCAATTTATGGCTTCAGCTTTCCACTTTAATTTCTGGATTTTAATTTGGAATTTATGGCTTCAGCTTTCCACTTTAGTAAGCAGGAGTCTGTACATAGGGTTACCACGGTCTAACACGTGATTTTCCCAATCCGATGGCACTCCAAAGGGATTTTCATTCAGCCATTCTGTATTATTATTATTATTTTCCACATCATGCGAATGTTCCGAAATTACGAGTTTACCCTTGCCGTATTCGATGAATTCGTTTTTCATCCTCACTGCAACAGCTTTTATATCAGATTGGAGAAACACCTGCCAAAAAAAAGAGAACATATATAATTAGACATATACATTATTTATATCTAGCAATACAAATTATCACCAAATATAGTATCATATATATATAAAATATCAAATAGGTAACAAATATTAGTGTACCTGTCCACCAAATATTAGCATATTAGTGATAGCTTCAACCAATGACCTTTGCAGCATTCTCCACCGATTTTCAGGTTTGTTGAAATCGGGATTCGGACACTGATATCGGAAATAAAATTGCAAGTGAGAAAGATCGAGAGCCATTCATTTTAATGACGTGTGATTTTTTTTTAATAATAATAATATAGTATGTAATTGATGCAACTATGATGCCAATATCTGTTTTACCTGTATGGATACAAGAACCAACTCCCCCGGGTAACTGGAAACTATAGACCGAAAAGTTGATGTAGCATTTGTCGTTATAAAGTGCCTACACGAAAAATAAACTAGAATAAGCGTAAATGTCAAAACTTCTTTGTTGCTAAATGACTAATTCAACACCTCCTCCTTGGGGGGGGGGGGGGGGGGGGCAAAAAGGTAAATACGTACACATTGCAGATACCGAGTTGACGAACATCATCTAGACAACGATCCACCAGCTGAAGATGTATAGGATCATCATTAATTAGGTTCAGAAATTCATAATTCAAACAACAATTTTATTGCCTAGAAATAAAAAGAAAACATTAGCATTCATTTTGAGGCCAAGAAAATTCATATCTTTTCGCGTTCTTGCCATTCCAAACAAGAGCAAGCCATTACCTGTCATTTCCAACCAAATATTCGGCACATTTACATCCTTTTTTCTGAGCAATGAATATATGTGTGTGTATATATATATATATATATATATATGGCCGTGAGATATTACCACTTCCAATATCAACAACCAGAGGTCTCATTGGATCACTGTAAGAGACACCCCAGTCTACCGTAAAAGGATATGCCTGCAAAGTTCAAGAAATTATAAGGTACTCGTATTTTTGCAATAACAGAATTATCATTTATGTATATATATATATATATATATATATATATATATATATATATATATATATATATATATATATATACTCGAAGATGAAGATATGGATACATACTCTATCTAATGCCACGAGTCCGGGAAGATTTCTTCCTTTAAGAACCTCCCAAACAACTGAGGCACTTGTCAAAACATTATCATTCGAAAAAAATGTCGACTTCCCCTGTAATTTTTCAAACTCCATTTTTCCAACATAAGTTGTGGTGCAACTGCTTAGTGTACCAACCGCTTCTGCCAATTTAAACGTTGCACCTTTATCCTGTTTCGAGGAGCTGAATCTCAATGGCCCAATCCACATTATTTTCTGGATAACTTGAAAAAACTTCAGTCAAGAAAAAAAAGAAAAACCCGAAGAGTTTTGTAGAAGTTCAAACAACATAACTTCAAAGTGGAAGATGAGCCATTAAATAAAAAAATAAAAAAAAAATTACAGATTCACTAAGAAACAATTAGATAAAAATTTCGGAGAAGCATACTCTTTTCCGATGGATTGGCTCACAAAATTTGTACATTGTATGAAACAGAAGAATCAATAATAACTGAAATGTTAAACTTTTGTTACGTACCTTGCATCCTGAAATCAAAAGGATCATTTCTTCTAACGATCTTGGTCCAATATCAACAGGTTGCCAACCTGAAGGATAAATTTTGGTAAATGAGAAAAAAAAATTAAAAAAAAATTAATAAACATATAAATATGCACTAATCAAAGAAACTCGAAGCCGGTAAAAAAATGTGATTGGAATTCTCGGATTCTATTATAATAACTGGTAAGTCGTGAATTTACCTTCGAGAATAGAATTAACAGAGAATACCTCCATCTTCTTCGGTACGTGATCTTCGATGCACCAGACATCTTTTGGAAACACAAGTGGAATGTTTCTCGACTTTGCATATTCCACTATACTGACAGCTTCTTTTAATGCTCCAAGTTCCAATAACTTCATCGGAACATGTACTCCAAGTGCATGAATTATTTGAAAAGCCATTTTTCCAACAAAGATTACACCATCACATTTAGATACTAAAAACCGCAAGGCATCGGCTTTGTCCGCAAAGTTGCCTCCACCTATCTGCATGTACAATTGAAGCCATATGAGTAATAATGTAATTTTTTTTAAATATTTTTTTAAATCTAGAGTAGGGGGGTATATATGAGTTACAATAGCAAAATAGGGTTTTTCAGTGGTGCCCGTGATTTTCTTGAGCTTATACAGACACTCCTCGAAGTAAAATCCGGCGATGTAGGCATACGAAAATCGAGCAATACCAACTGTTGAAGCAAGAACTTTATGAGATTCAGAAAATGCATCATTGACAATTATATCAACCCCATACGCAAGTTCTTTGGCAAATTTCGAACAATTAGCCCTTTCCTCCTTAAAGCCGAAAAGATTCTCGAGTAGAAGAATGCTACTAGCCTTTTTGCGATTTTCAACATCTGAATGCACCGGAACAACTTGTATTCCAAGATTCGATGACAGAAAACCTGAAACAAACACGGACAAAAACATCCTATGTAACTAACTGCAGAATATTGCATTGCGAAAAAACGAACATGATCTCTAACTAGTAGAACAAAATGTATGACCTGCAACAGATTCATTCGAACCGGTATTCTCGTTCCAACTACCCACGAGAATTACTTTTGCGCCTGCTTCGTATAGATACTTAATGGTGGAAAAAGCATTTGCAGGTGGTGATAGATTTCCGTGAAGCAAAATCACCGCATCGAATCTGACCAAGACGACTTTTCCGAACAGCTCCTCCTTTGGGAAGTTCCTAAGAGATTGTATGTGCGGAAATGCAGTAAATTGCCCACCATCACAAACAGGATCCTGGACGAAAAATATGTAAAACGCCAATATACTATTATTTATTTAATTATACAATTCATTCAAAATTAGCATTAAATAAGCTCCTTAAATCAGCTAACACTGAATTTGATATGTAAAACGCGCTCAAAAACCAAACCTATGCATACTTATTTACCTTTTCAACAAGTGAATGCTCAGATTGACCAACCGGCGTATTATTAGCTGTACAAAATAATCAATATCAACTAATAGCAAAAATCAAGATATGATTTCAGTAATATCCATTGATGAAGAAGGCATAAATTACAGTATTACCTGGAGGTGAAAACAAAATTGACCTGCTGCGTCTCTTTATTTTATATACAGTGCGATTTGGGCGAAAAAAACATGATTTTTGGGATGGGATTTTGAGAGAGTTAATATTAGGGTTCGAATTTGTGAAGAAGGGAATTCCTCTGTGGAAATTTCCACCAACAATTTGATTCATGAAGAACAGAGTTGGGTTTCCTTTTTTCTATTTCTAATAATATTCCCAAACAAGGAACAAGGCTTTTCCCAACGGATAGCAGATTATTTTATTTATTGCGTTCGCATCCTTCATGTTATCACAGAGTTATATTTTTCTCCCACGAATTATGGTCCGGAGCTTTTAACCCTTATTCCCAATCATTCTCATATATTTAGGCCCTGTTTGGTTTGGTTCGTATGATTACTGCTGATTGGTCTCATAATCAATTATGTACTCGTGTTTGGGTCGTAGGTAATAAACCCGGAATTGATCATCCGCTCGGGTGTATATCATTCATTCACGTGATTCGCCATCTTGGTAGTTGTGGTGGGTTCAAATAATCTCATCTGGCATCCCCAATTAAAGTGAATGTAAAATGACAATTTACCCTCACCAAAAAGTTAAAATTGCGTAACAGCCAGGCATATAAGATTGCAGCCTCTGTGAAAATCGATTTTGGAAGCCCTAATAGTCGTCTTCACTTTCACCACCGTCTATGCTCTCCTACAATTGTTTACAGTAAACCATGCTTTCGATCTGTTTTTTAAATTGATATTTTTTTAAATTTTGCTAATTCCGTTCGACTTGTTACCCAGTAAACCAAGGTTTTAATTTGTAGGATTATGCTACCATTCTCAAGATTGATTGACTGCCATTACTTATCCGACCGGGATTATTTTGCGAAGTATCACTGATTAGGAATAATATTGTGAGTCTACATTCTAAAACTCGTTGATGTACGTAGATCAATTATACCCCATTTATGTTATCGCGCGCACATGCTAATTTATGCACTTATTGAATACATGCACATCAACATATATTTTGCTCTGACACGGAATCAATAAACCATGTGGGTGACCGGGTGGCATTTATTATTTTTTGCGTCGGTCTTTCTAGTTTGATTGATGAAAATTGTGGAGTGAATTTACATTTACTATGCATGTGTAAATCGCATTTGTGTGATTCCCCCCTATCATAATAAAATTAGCAAAAACCCCCTATGTGCTAATTTTTACGTTGCATACTTGACTCATTTATCTCTTGCCCATTTACTCGCTGTGAAAAGACAAAATACTCCCCCGAGGTTCTTGCAAAAACAAAAGACCCAGTACTTCAACGAGTAATTTTAAAACTTGGGGACCAAATTGAATTTATGAAAACTTAAAAAGGTTAAATTGCAATTTTTAAAACTTTAATTAAAAAAAGGGCAAATTACAGTCACCCCTGAGCTATGGTGAAATTACGAAAACCCCCCTCTTGTTTGGGTAATTACAGCCACCCCTCAACTATATATGTATTTATCTTACGAAAAGACCCCTCAAGAGGTAAATTTAGGGATATTAATTCGGTAAAACCGAACCAAAATTTCGGTACGCCAACATTTCATACCGTTTACCGAACTAAATATACGATTTGGTTCGGTAAATAACCGAATTACATAAAGTTTACGTAAAAATATTTAAAAAGAGGGGGTGACTGTAATTACTCAAACAAGAGGGGTTTTTTCGTAATTTGACCATACCTCAGGGGTGGCCGTAATTTGCCCTTAAAAAAACGTGCATCTTCTTCACAAGACCGGACTCCACCACCACTTGCTCAACAGCCCAACACCCGCCGCCCGACTCATCTTCGCCGCCGTCTTTACCTAATAGCCCACCACCTATCACCCAACCCATCGCCGCCGCCATATTTGCTCAGCCACCCACCACCCAACCCATCTACGCCGCCATCTTTGTTCAACAGCCCACCAACCACCATCTCCGCCGCCATTCTTTCTCAACAGCCCACCGCCAACAGCATACACCATCTTTGTCGCCATTGTTTCTCAACAAGAAGCATATCCACCGCCGTTGCTATAAAATTGCAGAAACACTAATTGCCTTTTGAAGGTGGAGAATATTGGAGATATTAATATTAAATGATACATTTCACTAATAGCTTAAGTTTTTTGTTGAGATGGTCATTCAACATGGTATCAGAGTCAGACCGAATGAAAGGTCCTGAGTTCGAATCCCACAATGCAGAACACAGAGAGTTAAGGCATTTAAACAAACAAACCATACACTAATACAATTCAACGAATCCAAGGACGTGTATATTTTAAGAACTCTCACAATTACAAATGGAGGTTTGGAGCTGTCTGGATCTGCCTCAAAGAAGTTCGACTTTTCCCACCATTCATACCACCTACATAAAAGATATTTGAAGCCTCAGGTTTAAAGACTCATTAACAATCACTCAGGTATTTGAAAAGCAAAATAGATCTAATCCAACATACGATTTTTCGACAGCACTGGGCATGTAAGTTTTTGCCATTTGACGAGAAAGTTTTTTCTTATCACCCGAAGGAGTTATCACCCGAAGGAGTTTCAGGGTCATTGTAATCCTCTGGATTTTCTACCTCAGCTTCTCTTTCTGTATCGTTTTTCTTCCCGGACTCTGGTGCATTCGAAACTTTGTGCACCTAAGTTAGCAATGAATGAACAAGCGTTGTTAGTGCAATTCGATAACATTATAAATAAGAGTGTACTACCATATTTTAATAGTAAATGAATAAACCGAAAGTGTTGTAATGGTAATCATAGAGCACACCTGAAGTTTGGCTGCTTCTGCTTTTTGTTCCCTCTTTTGTTCCCTCTGTCTAGCCTAAATTGTACTCAGCGAGAGAAAAGAATAATTGATATTTCAAGTAAAATAAATAATGTAACATCGAAAAAACAAATCACAGCTAATAATCCACACCTACTCTGTATCTAATATGAAAGAAACAGTGGATGATTTACACAAAACAATCAGGGTACTGGAACTGATTTTTTTGCAAAACCAGTTCAAATTCAAATAAGATTTTCTCCACTTCCTTATTGTGGGTCCCATAGAAAGGATGCCAACATGAAGTCCTAACAGTTCGCACTCGGGAATATTAACGCTAACTCAAATGCTATTCATAGTGAGAGTTTTACTTGACTTACAGTGCTTAACTACATTTGAGAGTTTTTTGACAAATAAAAAAAGAGAGAGAATAAGAAGAAATTGACGCCATACCTTTTTCTCCTTCCTCCTAGCCCTCTTCTTTTCGAGCGCTTCCGCCGTCGGGTCTATCGGATCCATCTAGCCGCCGGCCTATCAATAAAAGGAAAGATATAATCAAATGAAATAAATAAGCAAATAATATGAATTGAGATTGCAATATGGAACAAAAACACGGCCGTTAACGGCACCGAAAGCAACATTACCGTCACACAGACGATGGAGGGTTTGGCGGTGGCGTGCAGGTGAAAATCGGGGGTTTTGGGGGGTATTGAATGGGAATGGTTTATTAATCGTGTGTGCATGTGTTGAGGCGTGAGGGTGAGTTGGTTGTGAGATGTTATATAAATGGGGCTCTTTAAAAAAAAATCGGTAAGTCCATTCGAGAAAAGCTCATGAAATAGTTATAATTTTTCTAATTTTATCCAGCATAGTCGACTAAGGAAAATCGAATATGAAACATAGTCAATTAAGAATTTTACTACTAAAAATAACAAATCACAACTAAAAAAAATGCAAAATCAATTGTATTTTACAAAAATAAAAAATAAATTGGAATAGATTAACCTTTATCGACTAATGTACGTAGTAGATTAAACATTAATCGATTATTAAACACGTACGTAGTCGATCAACGGTCATGTCTACGCGAATTTCTCTGTCCGCACCGTCCTCCTGCCGATCAACCTAAAATCCCTATATATGCTCCTCATCAATTTTATGATTATTCTTTGAATCATAACAATAGTCCAAACTCCAACATTGAATTGGTCATTTTACAAATTTCGTTATTTTTTGAACATTTAAAAAAATTAGGTATAAATTTAGAGCAGAGCGCGCCAATCCTAATCCCTTAGAACCTTCACACACCCAAACGTGAAAATTGAAATCCCTAAAGTATAAAATCCCTCTTTTCCTAAATCTGAACGATTCTTCACTCTTCTCTTCAATTTGGCTGCGACTCTTAAATAATCAGTTTCCATACTCCAAAATCTCTCTCTATCTTCGGTATTGCTGCATTACATCAAGCTTTCTGTTGGAAACCCATTCGCCACTAAGAGAAGAAGGTACGCATACTAATTATTAGGGTTAATACTTTTAATTGTTATATCTAATCTTGTGTGTGAATGATTTTTTCTGTTTGGTGTTTCTATGAAATTCGGAAACTGTTTGTTGATATAAAAACCCCCACGCAATTTTTATTCTTCAACAGTTGAAATCAAGTTCTTGTTGTGTTCTTTTCAGCTGGCCTATGTATGTGTGCTATTTCATTTATGGTTTAGAAGAACAAACCAGCAACAAGAACTTCATTTTAGAAGAAAAAAACAAATTCATCGAGTACGGCAAGGGTAGACTCGTAATTTCGGAACATTCGCAAGATGTGGAAACTAATAATAATACAGAATGGCTGAATGAAAATCCCTTTGGAGTCCCGTCGGATTGCGAGAAGCACGTGTTAGACCGTGGTACTGACTCTTACTTACTAAAGTGGAAAGCTGAAGCCATAAATTGCAAATTAAAATCCAATTAATTGGATTTTGATTTATGCAAATACAAATTAAATATGTCACTATTCACTAACAAATAATTTGGCTCTCAAATCCTTCGTAAATTGATCGAAATTTCGCTCCGAAGATCCAACGGCATCCAAAGCATCCACCAATATCCTATTTACTTTCTTCACCTCATGCTTCAAATCTCCACTCATCACCTTCTTAATCTTCTTAGCAACTTCTTTTCGATCAACACTTATTCCGTAATCACAAAGACTAATCCCGATTTTCCAATCATCGACCACTAATTTCCGATTAGTCGGTTGATCATACTCTAACGGATAACAAATCATCGGTACCCCACACCACATACTCTCCAGTATCGAATTCCACCCACAGTGTGTGAAAAACCCTCCAATAGCCGGATCCGAAAGAACCCTAATTTGATCGCACCACGGAATTATAAGCCCCTTTTCTTTACTTTCGACCCTAAGATTATCCATAAGAGAATCGAAACTATCTCCTCGAACCACCCAAATAAAATCTACTTCACTAAGTAGAAGCCCATAAGCTATTTCTTCTACAAGCTGCTTACTGATTTCAACTAGGCTACCGAACGAGATGTACAGAACCGAGCCGGGCGGCTTGTGTTCGAGCCAGTGGGTGCAGTCGTGTTCCGACCATAAGCTGTTGCTGACTGCGTAATTTGTTCCGAGATTTTTGGAGAAATTGACGGGGCCGATTGCGTAATTTGGTTGATGTTTGTTGAGAGCTGAGAGTGTACTGGATTCGAATTCTTGAACTGTGTTGTGTAAGATAAAATCTGCTTTCTTCACTTGTTGAAATGCTCTGGTCTCAATCTTGTGAACTGTTGTTCCTATGGCAGATTCCTTCAGGTATGGCATTAAATCCTTTGTACTTATTGACTCAATTCCAGGCAGGTACTTTATTTCCTCCTCAACATGGTCTGGTAATAATAATCATAATATAACAAAAAAATCAATAAATTAAAAAAAAAAGGGTAAATTACACGTACACCCCTGAGGTATGTTAAAATAACTTTAAGGTCCCTGTAGTATCGGTAATTACAATCACCCTCTGAAACATTGTTAGAAATGATGCATTGGATAAGTTATTCGGTTAGGGTTCTAACGGACTATTAGTTTCAGGCAGTGACGGAGACAACATAGAACTAGGGGATGACATGGCTCTTCTAGTATTTCTTAATTCCTTATTATTTTATATAAAAAATTATAAATTTTCGTCTATTGTAGCATTAACGGCCCCGATGGAAACAAATATAGTGCATATCGGTCTCCAGAACATGAAATGTTGGCTACGGTAATTGTTTCAGGGGTGTGGTTGTAATTATCAATACTACAGGGACTTTAAAGTTATTTTAGCATACCTCAGGGTTGTAGGTGTAATTACCCTTAACAAATATGTAAATTAGGAAAAAAAAAAAGAAAGAAAGAAAGAAAAATTACTTACCTTTACATGGAAAATGTCCATTTTCTGTTAGAAGGTCAATGTGGTAAGCTAAAGAAAACACCAAAGCAGGTTCAGTCCAGAAAGAAACATTGACCAGATTATGCTTCTTGGCAATTTCTGCAGGCCATGTATACAAAGTGTCGGTAACCAAGAAATGTGCCGAACATGGATTAGCCCGAATTATTTCGGTCACTAACTCATCGACTCGGTGAGGGAAATCACTCAGCATGGACTCCCAATACTCGTCTGTATGAAGAGCTCGATCGAATTCCAACGGAAATCCGTCGGAAATCGTTTCGTAGCGTATATCGAGACCGGATTCACGCGCTCCGGAAAATAAATCCGGTTGGATTGTATTATCCCGAGATTGTGACAGCATCATTTGGTGGATAAACTCGAGGTGAACGAAGGTGATAACGAATCCCTTGGAAGCGAGTTTTGTGGCTAGATTGATTAAGGGTGTGATGTGGCCTTGGTATGGAAGTGCTATCATTATTGCGTGAGCCTTTGAAGCCATTTTTCTTTTTCTTCGATTGCTGCAAGAAGAAGGTGACTGTAATATATAACTTATATATTACAGTCACTTATATAATATAAGTGATTAAATTCAAAATCGGACGGTCGGTAATAAATCATAATTAGTGTCACTTTAATGTTAGCTGGCTTGGTTTTTGTTTTTAAACATAGTGAACTGTATCAAGATGGGTCAATTCATTGCCTTACCTGTTTTTTGTCAGGTTGTTATTTGAATGAGCTCTAAAAAGGCATTATTACTTTATTTTTCTGTCTTTAATGTACGTATATCTGCGTAAAAGACATAAATCAACTTGTGCCATGTTACGATTGAATTCGTTTCGATTTTTTAGATATGATTGGCCTTCGACAGCTTGCGGTGCACAAATTCCAACCACTAATTTCCAGTCTATAGGATAGCAAATCATAGGCACCCCACACCACATACTCTCGAACGTAGAATTCCACCCACAATGCGTCAGAAAACCCCCAATTGCCGGATTCGAAAGAACCCTACTTTAATCGCACCACGGAATAATCAACCCTCAGTGGGTGCGTTCTGATTCCGACCAAAAAGTACTCTTGCTGACATCATTCGTCGGAATATTCTTGGAGAACTTAATAGGGCCGATTGTGTAATTTGGTTGGTATTTGCCGAGAGCTGAGAGCGTCTCGGGTTCTAATTCTTGAAAAGTGTTGTGCAGGATAAAATCCGCCTTCTTTACTCGCTCGAATGCCACGGATGAAACTCTGGTCGGTAAATATTCCGATTCTGATCTTTTAAGATACGGCATGAAGTCGCCTGTGCTTATCGACTCGACTCCTGGGACGTAGTTTACTTCCTCGTCTATATCGCCTGATCACAATCAAGAAAGTTATTACAAGTATGAGTAACTAAATAGTGCGAATACAATTAAGAAGATGTAGATACATATTAGTGCCTATTGAGGGCCTTGGATAGTTTGTGGTGAACGTATTCAAAATGAACAAAAGTGACGGAAACGCTCTCCGAAGCGAGCTTGAGGGCGAGATTGACAAAGGGGTTAATGTGACCTTGGTATGGGGCTGATAATCATTATAGCAGGTGAGTTTATGCACTCATTGTGATCAGCTGCCATTTTCTTGAATTTTTTAAGCTGTTTTTTTTTGAGGTTGATACAGGTTGGTTTGTTAATTATATATATATTACAGTACATGACAAAATTAATTATGTCAGTTTTGTGATAAGCGATGAATGCCTAACAGAAATTTGACAAGAGGATAGGTCATAAGTATGTAGGTCAAATTACCAAAACCCCCCTGAGGTAAGCCTAAATAACGAAAATCCCCCTCACGTTCTCGTAATTACGAAAACCCCCCTTGACTAACGGTTGACCGAATTTTTTTAACCGAAAACGTGAAATGTCTATTATATCCTTCTGTTAAATATGTAAAAAATAAAGGGCAAATTACCAAAACCCCCCTGAGGTAAGCCTAAATAACGAAAATCCCCCTGACATCCCTTTCACTTGATGATTTATTGCTTTTATAAATTTATTTATTACTTTGTAATTTGTATTGATAATTTGATATTATAATTTTTTTATTTTTTTTATTTATATATTTTAATTGATTTTATTTATCCAGAGGAGTATTCATACGGATTTATGCTTTTAGCTTGAATGGTGCATGGTTGTATTTCTCGAATTGTAAAATATTTAATTTTATATATAAAAAATAATTAAATTTTGAAATCTTATCCATTGATTTTTTTAATCCAATAAAAATACATTGTACATTCATAATGATTGATTATATTTGGGTTTAATTTAAGAAAAATAAGTATTTTGCAAACACTTATATATTTCATAAAGAGTATATATTTATGAACCCCTCATTAAATAAAATGCTTACAATTACCCCCTAAGGGTAATTTCGTGTACAAGGGCAAAATTGGTATTATCGGAGGAATATTCGGGAGAATCAAAAAGATTCTATCGAGTTTAACACCGTTAGAGCGATTTGTAAGATGTCTGCATACCTCAGGGGGGTTTTCGTAATTACGAGAACGTGAGGGGGATTTTCGTTATTTAGGCTTACCTTAGGGGGGTTTTGGTAATTTGTCCTAAGTATGTATTAGGAAAGAATGTCACGTGCAATGCACATGGATTATGGTCTCAACAAAGAAAAAGAAAAACAAAAAAATCCACATTGGGGCTAAAATTAGGGCAAAATCAATGTCAATCCTTTTTTTTAGACTTTGGAACAGAATTCTTCATTCGGATCCGATATTCCAATTTTCAAATTTTTCGATTTTTTTTGGATTGGAATTAATCAATTACATATATTTTTTGGGAATTCCGATTTCTGATCCTATTTTGATATTCGAAAATAACTCCAAAATTTCCACAAAAAAAATCCCAAATATTCTGTCTTAAATTAGGTCTAAATTTAGAGCGCGCGAATTCGAGACCCTTCGAACCTTCAAACACCCAAACGTGAAAATTGAAATCCCTAAAATCTAAAATCCCTCTTTTCTTAATTCTGAACGATTCTTCAATCTTCTCTTCACTTTCGCCGCGACTCTTAAATAATCAGTTTGCAGATTCCAAAATATATCTCTGTCTTCGGCATTGCTCCGTCACATTGAGCTTTCTGTTGGAAACCCGTTCGCCACTAAGAGAAGAAGGTACGCATACTACTTATTAGGGTTAATACTTGGAATTGTTATATCTGATATTGTGTGTGAATGATTTTTTTCTGTTTGGTGTTTCGATGAAATTAGGAAACTATTTGTTGATATAACCCCCACGCAATTTTTATTCTTCAACAGTTGCAATGAAGTTCTTGTTGTGTTCTTTTTAGTTGGCCTCTGTGTGTGTGCTATTGTAGTTCGTTTTCTGATTTTTTTATTTTTATACTAAGAATGCGGAGAAATTTTGGTTTACTTGGAGAAAACCATCACCATTTTAGTCGATTTTGTACTGAGCTGAAGCTTTAGAAGTGGCTCTAGAAGCCACCTTTCGAAGTAACACTAGTTCCAAAACAATGCTTGATTGCATTACCATGTCAGCAAAACACCTTGTCTACTGCACATACCACTAATCACCACAGTGAAACTTGCAGCAGATATCAATTATCAATTGATTTTGCCCTGCCGAGTTCTTTATACTGTTCAAAAATAAAATATGAAATCCAATAAAACTTGAAAAATACGGAGTAGTTTGTAGGTTAACCAAACGGAATTCAAGAATTGATTCTTAAAAATATGTACAAGTGGTATGACTCAAAATGATCAACTGCATCTCTAGTTGGTCATTTTTTATTTACATTTAAAGCTGTTTCGTGTAGATTCTTCCTCAAATCATTGATAAATTGCGCAAAGCTTCCCTCGGACAATCCATCAATTTCGACTGCCTTCTGTAAAATCGCCTTTACGTTATCTGCTTCTTGCCTCAAGCTCTTAGAAGTATTTCCACTCATTAACTTCTTAATTTTCTCAGCAACTTTTTTCCTATCAACTGATGTTCCATATTCACAAAGATTAATCCCAATCTTCCAATCATCAACCACTAGTTTTCTGTTGACCGGTTGATCCCAATCCATAGGATAACAAATCATGGGAACCCCACACCACATGCTTTCCAACGTAGAGTTCCACCCACAATGTGTCAAGAACCCTCCAACCGCTGGATCAGAAAGAACCTTAATCTGATTGCACCATGGAATAATCAATCCTTTATCCTTAATCTCATCCTCAAATCCAAAGGGTAAAACGTTGTTATCAGCAGAACCGAGGATACCTGGTCGAATCACCCAAATGAAGTTTACTTCACTGAGAAGAAGCCCATAAGCTAATTCTTCGATAACCTGCTTACTTGTTGGCACAAAACTTCCAAACGAAACATACAAAACCGAGCCGGGGGACTTGGAGTCTAGCCAGTTGGTGCAGTCTGTTTCAGACCAAAAACTCTTGCTGACATCATTTGTTGGAATATTCTTGAAGAACTTAATAGGGCCAATTGCATAATTTGGTTGGTATGTGCTGAGAGCCGAGAGTGTCTGGGATTCTAACTCATACACAGTGTTGTGTAGGATAAAATCCGCCTTCTTTACTCGCTCGAATGCCACGGATGCAGCTCTAGTCGGTACATATTCCGATTCTGCTTTTTTAAGATATGGCATGAAGTCCCTTGTGCTTATCGACTCAACTCCTGGAATGTAGTTTATTTCCTCGTCTATATTGCCTGATCATAGTCAAGAAAGTTACTACAAATATAAGAAACTAAATAGTGCGAATATCTCATTTTTTGCGTAGGAGAGGAATATAAGTAAGAAGATGTAGATTCACATATACATACCTTTACATGGAAAATGACCCTTTTCTCTTAGAAGCTCCATGTGGTACTGTAAAGAAAATACCAAGGCTGGTTCGGTCCAGAATGAAACATTGACAAGGTTGTACTTGTCGGCAATTGCTCCAGGCCATGCGTAAACACAGTCGGCAACCAAGAAATGGACTGAATTTGGATCAGATTGGATTGTCTTTCCAACAAATTTATCGATCATACCTAAAAGATCGAACGTTATGGACTCCCAGTACTTCTCAAAGTGGAGTTCCCGATCAAATTCAGAAGAAAAACCATCTTCGATGGTTGTGTAACGTACGTCAAGACCTGATTCGCGAGCTTCGGAGAATAAATCGACTTCAGTAGAGCTTGTGTTATTGCTATTGAGGGCCTTGGATAATTTGTGGTGAACGAATTCGAAATGAACAAAAGTGATGGAAAAGCCATTAGAAGCAAGCTTGAGAGCAAGGCTGACAAAGGGGTTAATGTGACCTTGGTATGGGACTGATATCATAATAACATGTGACTTTATGCACTCACTCTCTGCTGCCATTTTTGTCTCTTAATTTTTGCAGGTTTGTTAGATTTCGTTGTCTGAGGTACGTATATGGTGGCTTTTTCATAATTTATTACGTGATATTTTCTGGATTGGATTTGTGTGGTGCTATTGACAGATATGGTATTCAATCAGTTTGTGATAATGAATGGAGCTAAGAGAAGCAAAATAGAAACTGACAAGACAACAAGTATTAGGACCACCTAAAAGATCTATCTATATTATCTTAGTCATGTACAAGAATTGTTTGATAGAGCTGAAATCAGGGAATATTGTAACTGAGTGAACACGAGTCATTTTAATTAACTCGAATTCACTTTCTGCTCTAGTTTCTTATAATTGAAAAGCTCTGCCGTTAGTTCTGGTTAATGATCAATTCCTACTTCTAACTATTTGAAATTTTGGAATAATCATTACAAAAAGTGATCAGGCAGTGCTAGTTCAAATTGAAAGCCGTTTCTTGAAGTTTCGCCCTCAAATCCTTGATAAATTGAGCAAAGTTTCTCTCGGACGATCCATCAATTTCGACTGCCTTATGCAAGATCGTCTTTACGTTATCTGCTTCTTGCCTCAAGCTCTTAGAACTAATCCCGCTCATTAATTGCTTAATCTTCTCAGCAACTTGTTTCCTATCAACTGATGTTCCGTAATCACAAAGATTAACCCCAATCTTCCAATCATCAACCACTAATTTCCTATTAGTAGGTTGATCCCAGTCTATAGGGTAACAAATCATGGGCACCCCACACCACATACTCTCCAACGTCGAATTCCACCCACAATGTGTCAAGAACCCCCCAACGGCTGGATTTGAAAGAACCTTAATCTGATCGCACCACGGAATAATTAACCCTTTATCCTTAATATTTATTTCATCCACGAATCCAAATGGTAAAACATTGCTATCAGGAGAACCGAGGATGCCTGGTCGAATCACCCAAATGAAGTTCACTTCACTCAGAAGAAGCCCATAAGCCACTTCTTCAATCACCTGCTTATTTGTCTGAACAAAACTTCCAAACGAAATGTACAAAACCGAGCCGCGGGACTTGGAGTCTAGCCAGTTGGTGCAGTCTGATTCCGACCAAAAACTCTTGCTGACATCATTTGTTGGAATATTCTTGGAGAACTTAACAGGGCCAATTGTGTAATTTGGTTGGTATTTGCTGAGGGCTGAGAGTGTCTGAGATTCTAACTCATATACATTGTTGTGTAGGATAAAATCCGCCTTCTTTACCTGTTCGAATGCCACGGAACAAATTCGGGTTCGTAAGATTTGTGATTCTGCTTTTATAAGATACGGCATCAAGTCGCTTGTGCTTATTGACTCAACTCCTGGAATGTAGTTTATTTCCTCATCTATATTGCCTGACAGTCAAGAAAGCTACTACATGTAAGTATGAGAATTTTAAAGGATGTGATAAATGTCGTTTCGGTTTTAATGATACCGTTTCAACTTCAAACTTGATTTTGACCAATTATGTGGCTGAATTTGGCAAAACTCAAAACACAAAAGGTGGAGTTCTTTGAGTTAGCTTTCTAATCCAACTTGAATCACGAAGATTGGATGTAGGGTGGGAAAGATATGCATGAATCAATGAAGACTGCCCGCAATTTTGATGTTTTGAGTTATTAAAAATTCAAGATATAAGTCATTCATGCATAACTTTGTCACCTGGCATCCAATCTAGCTGATTTAAGTTGGATTAAAAAGCTACCTCAACTGATTTAAGTTTGGATTAAAAAGCTACCTCAAAGGACTACAATATTAATATAAGTGAAACGACATTCAAAATTTCAGGAAATTAATTACTGCGAATATTTTATTATTTTATTTTTCACAAGAGATGAATTAACAAGATGTAGATTTAATTTATACATACCTCCCCATGGGAAATGACCCTTTTCTCTTAGAAGCTCTATGTGATAACCTAAAGAAAACACCAGGGCTGGTTGAGTCCAGAGTGAAACATTGATAAGGTTGTACTTGTCGGAAATTTTTCCAGGCCATACATAAATAGTGTCGGCAACCAAGAAATGGACTGAATATGGATCAGATTCAATTGTCTTGCCGACAAATTCGTCGATTATAGATTGAAAATCGAACGTTATGGACTCCCAATATTCCTCAAAGTGAAGTTCCCGATCAAATTCAGAAGGAAAACCATCAGCAATGGTTGTGTAACGTATGTCAAGACCTGATTCTCGAGCTTCAGAGAATAAATCAACTTCATTATTATTGCTATGGAGGGCCTTGGATAATTTGTCGTGTACGAATTCGAAATGAACAAAAGTGATGGAAAAGCCATTAGAAGCAAGCTTGAGAGCAAGACTGACAAAGGGGTTTATGTGACCTTGGTAAGGGGCTGATATCATTATAGCATGTGACTTTATGCACTCACTCTCTGCTGCCATTTCTCTCTCTTAATTTTTGCAGGTTTGTTAGATTGTGTTGTATGAGGTATGTATGTAGTATTTTCTGATATTTTCTCTCTCTTAATTATTATCTGATATCTTCTGGATTGAATTTGTGTGGTGCTATTGACAGGCGTATGTAGTATTCAGAACTAGACAAATTATGCCAGTTTGTGATAAGAATGGAGCTAAGAGACGCAATTCAGAATTTGACAAGACAGCAGGTACTAGGACCAGCTAAAAGATCTATATATTATTATATTAATCATGCATAAGAATTGTTTGTATATAGTTGAAATCAGGGAAGCTTGTAACTGGGTGAAAATGAATCATTTTAATTAACTCGAATTCACTTTCTGCTTATTTTTTTTTAATTGAAAACCTCTGCTTAACTGACAGTTCTGGTTAATGTTCAATTCTTAATTTTCATTATTTGATTTCTGAATAATCATTACGAAAAATGATCTGGTGGTACTAACTCATATTTAAAGCTGTTTCGTGAATTTTTCCCCTCAAATCTTCGATAAATCGATCAAAGTTTTTCTCGGACGATCCATCAATTTCAACTGCCTTCTGCAAAATCGCCTTTACGTTATCTGCTTCTTGCCTCAAGCTCTTAGAACTATTTCCGCTCATTAATTGCTTAATCTTCTCAGCAACTTGTTTCCTATCAACTGATGTTCCGTAATCACAAAGATTAATCCCAATCTTCCAATCATCAACCACTAATTTCCTATTAGTAGGTTGATCCCAGTCTATAGGGTAGCAAATCATTGGAACCCCACACCACATGCTCTCCAAAGTCGAATTCCACCCACAATGTGTCAAGAACCCTCCAATAACCGGATTAGAAAGAACCTTAATTTGATCACACCATGGAATAATCAACCCTTTGTCCTTAATATTAATCTCATCCTCGAATCCAAATGGTAAAACATTGTTATCAGGAGAACCGAGGATACCTGGTCGAATCACCCAAATGAAGTTCACTTCACTGAGAAGAAGCCCGTAAGCCACTTCTTCAGTCACCTGCTTATTGGTCTGAACAGAACTTCCAAATGAAACGTACAAAACTGAGCCAGGGGACTTGGAGTCTAGCCAGTTTGTACAGTCTGATTCAGACCAAAAACTCTTGCTGACATCATTTGTTGGAACATTCTTGGAGAACCTAATAGGGCCAATTGCGTAATTTGGTTGGTATTTGCTGAGAGCTGAGAGTGTCTGAGATTCTAACTCATACACAGTGTTGTGTAGGATGAAATCCGCCTTCTTTACTTGCCGAATGCCACGGATGAGACTTTGGTTGGAATATATTCCGACTCTGCTTTTGTAAAATACGGCATCAAGTCTCTTGTGCTTATTGACTGAACTCCTGGAACGTAGTTTATTTCCTCGGCTATATTGCCTGACATTGAAGAAAGCTACTACACATAAGTATGAGAAATGAAATAATGCGAATATTTTATGTTTATAACAGGAGAGGAATTAGCAAGATGTAGATTTAATTTATGCATACCTTTCCATGGGAAATGACCCTTTTCTCTTAGAAGCTCCATGTGATAACCTAAAGAAAACAGCAGGGCTGGTTGTGTCCAGAGTGAAACATTGATAAGGTTGTACTTGTCGGAGATTTTTCCAGACCATGCGTAAATAGTGTCAGAAACCAAGAAATGGACGGAATATGGATCAGATTCGATTGTCTTTCCGACAAATTCATCAATTATAGATGGCAAATCGAACGTTATGGACTCCAAATATTCCTCAAAGTGAAGCTCCCGATCAAATTCTGAAGGAAAACCATCAGTGATGGTTGTGTAACGTATGTCAAGACCTGATTCTCGAGCTTCAGAGAATAAATCAACTTCAGTGTTATTGCTATGGATGGCCTTGGATAATTTCTGGTGAACGAATTCGAAATGAACAAAAGTGACGGAAAAGCCATTAGAAGCAAGCTTAAGAGCAAGACTGACAAAGGGGTTAATGTGTCCTTGGTATGGGAGTGAAATCATAATAGCATGTGACTTTATGCACTCACTCTTAGCTGCCATTTTTCTCTCTTAATTTTTGCAGGGATTTTTTTAGATTGTATTGTATGAGGTATTGTATATAGGTGGCTTTTTGTTAATTATTATCTGATATTTTCTGGATTGAATTTGTGTGGTGCTATTGACAGGCGTACGTAGCATTCAGAGCTAGACAAATTATGCCAGTTTGTGATAAGAATGGAGCTAAGAGAAGCAAAACAGAATTTGACAAGACAACAGGTATCACTACCAGTTAAAAGATTTATGTATATTATATAAGTCATGTATAAGAATTGTTTGTATATTGCTGAAATTAAGGAAGACTTTAACTGAGTGAACACGATTCATTTTAATTGACTCGATTTTCTTACCGAAAAGCTTCGCTTAACCAACAGTTCTGGTTAAGGATCAGTTCCTAATTTTCATTATTTGAAATTTTGGCCCTCAAATTCTCTATAAATTGATCAAAGTTTTTCTCGGACGATCCATCAACTTCGACTGCCTTCTGCAATATCGCCTTTATGTTATCTGCTTCTTTCCTCAAACTCATCGAAGTAGTTCCACTCATTAATTGCTTAATCTTCTCAGCAACTTGTTTCCTATCAACAGATGTTCCATAATCACAAAGATTAATCCCAATCTTCCAATCATCAACCACTAATTTCCTATTAGTAGGCTGATCCCAATTTATAGGATAACAAATCATTGGAACCCCGCACCACATGCTCTCCAAAGTCGAATTCCAACCATTATGAGTCAAGAAGCCTCCAATTGCCGTATTCGAAAGAACCCGAATTTGATCGCACCACGGAATAATCAACCCTTTATCCTTCATTTTAATCTCATCCTCAAATTCAAACGGTAAAACATTATTATCACCACAATCATCCCCAAATCCAGCAATACCTAATCGAACCACCCAAATGAAGTTCACTTCACTAAGAAGAAGCCCATGAGCCAATTCCTCAATCACCTGCTTACTTGTCTGAACAAGGCTCCCGAACGAAACGTACAAAACCGAGCCCATTGGCTTGGAGTCGAGCCATTTGGTGCAGTCTGATTCGGACCATAAACTCTTGCTGACAGTAGTATTTGTCGGAAGATTACTCTTGGAGAAATTAATAGGGCCAACTGCATAATTTGGTTGGTATTTGTTGAGAGATGAGAGTGTCTCCGATTCTAATTCTTGAACTGTGTTGTGCAGGATAAAATCTGCTTTCTTTACTTCCTTAAATGACGCTGATAAAATTCTCGTTAATACACTTTGTGATTCAGCTTCCTTTAGATATGGCATCAAGTCTCTTGTGCTTATTTTTCCAACTCCAGGTACATAATCTATTTCCTCCTCGATATTATCTGTGACAGTCAATTCAAAAAATTAATTTTATAACACTTTTTTTTTTTAATTCACAATTCTAGCTAGAAGAAGAAGATACATACCTTTACATGGAAAATGACCCTTTTCTCTCAGAAGATCCAAGTGGTAAATCAAAGAGAACACCAAGGCTGGTTCAGTCCATAAAGAAACATTAACAAGGTTGTATTTCTTTGCAATGGTAGCTGGCCAAAAATAATTAGTATCAGCAACCAAGAAATAGACTGAAACTTGATCAGATCGAATTATCTTTCCAACAAATTCTTCGACTATAGTTGGAAAATCGCGCAGAAGGGACTCCCAATACTCCATAATGTGGAGATCTCTATCAAATTCCAGAGGAAAACCATCGCTCATTGTTGTGTAACGTATATCGAGACCTGATTCTCGAGCTTCAGAAAATAAATCGAATTCTTCTGGATTTTTATGATGGGCTTTTGATAATTTGTGGTGAATAAATTCAAGATGAACAAAAGTGATGGAGAAGCCATTAGAAGCAAGCTTAAGAGCAAGTCCAACAAAGGGGTTAATGTGTCCTTGGTAAGGAACTGATATCATAATAGCATGCGACTTTTTGCACGCACTCTCTGCTGCCATTTCTCTCTCTTAATTTTTGCAGGTTTGTTAGATTGTATTGTATGAAGTATTGTGTATAGGTGGTGGCTTTTGTTAATTATTATCTGATATTTTCTGGATTGAATTTGTGTGGTGCTATTGACAGGCGTACGTAGCATTCAGAGCTAGACAAATTATGCCAGTTTGTGATAAGAATGGAGCTAAGAGAAGCAAAACAGAATTTGACAAGACAACAGGTATCACTACCAGTTAAAAGATTTATGTATATTATATAAGTCATGTATAAGAATTGTTTGTATATTGCTGAAATTAAGGAAGACTTTAACTGAGTGAACACGATTCATTTTAATTGACTCGATTTTCTTACCGAAAAGCTTCGCTTAACCAACAGTTCTGGTTAAGGATCAGTTCCTAATTTTCATTATTTGAAATTTTGGCCCTCAAATTCTCTATAAATTGATCAAAGTTTTTCTCGGACGATCCATCAACTTCGACTGCCTTCTGCAATATCGCCTTTATGTTATCTGCTTCTTTCCTCAAACTCATCGAAGTAGTTCCACTCATTAATTGCTTAATCTTCTCAGCAACTTGTTTCCTATCAACAGATGTTCCATAATCACAAAGATTAATCCCAATCTTCCAATCATCAACCACTAATTTCCTATTAGTAGGCTGATCCCAATTTATAGGATAACAAATCATTGGAACCCCGCACCACATGCTCTCCAAAGTCGAATTCCAACCATTATGAGTCAAGAAGCCTCCAATTGCCGTATTCGAAAGAACCCGAATTTGATCGCACCACGGAATAATCAACCCTTTATCCTTCATTTTAATCTCATCCTCAAATTCAAACGGTAAAACATTATTATCACCACAATCATCCCCAAATCCAGCAATACCTAATCGAACCACCCAAATGAAGTTCACTTCACTAAGAAGAAGCCCATGAGCCAATTCCTCAATCACCTGCTTACTTGTCTGAACAAGGCTCCCGAACGAAACGTACAAAACCGAGCCCATTGGCTTGGAGTCGAGCCATTTGGTGCAGTCTGATTCGGACCATAAACTCTTGCTGACAGTAGTATTTGTCGGAAGATTACTCTTGGAGAAATTAATAGGGCCAACTGCATAATTTGGTTGGTATTTGTTGAGAGATGAGAGTGTCTCCGATTCTAATTCTTGAACTGTGTTGTGCAGGATAAAATCTGCTTTCTTTACTTCCTTAAATGACGCTGATAAAATTCTCGTTAATACACTTTGTGATTCAGCTTCCTTTAGATATGGCATCAAGTCTCTTGTGCTTATTTTTCCAACTCCAGGTACATAATCTATTTCCTCCTCGATATTATCTGTGACAGTCAATTCAAAAAATTAATTTTATAACACTTTTTTTTTTTAATTCACAATTCTAGCTAGAAGAAGAAGATACATACCTTTACATGGAAAATGACCCTTTTCTCTCAGAAGATCCAAGTGGTAAATCAAAGAGAACACCAAGGCTGGTTCAGTCCATAAAGAAACATTAACAAGGTTGTATTTCTTTGCAATGGTAGCTGGCCAAAAATAATTAGTATCAGCAACCAAGAAATAGACTGAAACTTGATCAGATCGAATTATCTTTCCAACAAATTCTTCGACTATAGTTGGAAAATCGCGCAGAAGGGACTCCCAATACTCCATAATGTGGAGATCTCTATCAAATTCCAGAGGAAAACCATCGCTCATTGTTGTGTAACGTATATCGAGACCTGATTCTCGAGCTTCAGAAAATAAATCGAATTCTTCTGGATTTTTATGATGGGCTTTTGATAATTTGTGGTGAATAAATTCAAGATGAACAAAAGTGATGGAGAAGCCATTAGAAGCAAGCTTAAGAGCAAGTCCAACAAAGGGGTTAATGTGTCCTTGGTAAGGAACTGATATCATAATAGCATGCGACTTTTTGCACGCACTCTCTGCTGCCATTTCTCTCTCTTAATTTTTGCAGGTTTGTTAGATTGTATTGTATGAAGTATTGTGTATAGGTGGTGGCTTTTGTTAATTATTATCTGATATTTTCTGGATTGAATTTGTGTGGTGCTATTGGCAGGCGTACGTAGCATTCAGAACTTGACAAATTACGCCAGTTTGTGATGAGGAATGGAGCTAAGAAACGCAATTCAGAATTTGACAAGACAACAGGTACTAGGACATTTTTAATATTTGAAATTTCGGAATAATCAACAAGAAAAATAATCAGGAAATACTAATTCGTATTTAAAGCTGTTTCGTGAATTTTGGCCCTCAAATCCTCAATAAATTGAGCAAAGTTTCTCTCGGACGATCCATCAATTTCGACTGCCTTCTGTAAAATTCCCTTCACCTTATCTGCTTCTTGCCTCAGGCTCGTAGAACTATTTCCATTCATTAAGTGCTTAATCTTCTCAACCACTTGTTTCCTATCGACAGATGTTCCGTAATCGCAAAAATTAATCCCAATCTTCCAATCATCAACCACTAATTTCCGATTAGTGGGTTGTTCATAGTCTATAGGATAAGAAATCATCGGAACACCAAACCACATGCTCTCCACCGTAGAATTCCAGCCGTTATGAGTCAAGAACCCTCCAACGGCCGGATTCGAAAGAACCTTAACCTGATCACACCACTGAATAATCAACCCTTTATCCTTAATTTTATCCTCGAATCCAATCGGTAAAATATTACCATCGCCAAACCCAACGATACCTGGTCGAACAACCCAAATGAAGTTCACTTCACTGAGTAGAAGCCCGTAAGCTAGTTCTTCAATCACCTGCTTATTGATCTGAACAAGGGTCCCAAACGAGACGTACAGAACCGAGCCAGTTGGTTTGGATTCGAGCCAGCTGGTGCAGTCCGATTCAGACAAGAAACTCTTGTTGGCAATGCTTTTAGGAAGATTCTTGGAGAAATTAACAGGGCCAATCGCGTAATTTGGTTGGTATTTGCTTAGAACCGATATTGTCCCGGATTCTAATTCTTGAACAGTGTTGTGTAGGATAAAATCCGCCTTCTTTACTCGCTCGAATGCCAGTGACGAAATTCTTGTGATGACACTCTCCGATTCTGTTTTGGTAAGATAATGTATCAAGTCCCTTGTGCTTAATGACTCTACTCCTGGAATATAATCTATTTCCTCTGCAGTATTACCTGATATAATCAAGAAAGTAATCAGTACATGATATATTAGTTTGCTTAATTAAGAAATGTTGATTTAGTTTATACATACATACCTTTCCATGGAAAATGGCCCTTTTCTCGTAGAAGATCCAAGTGATAGTTCATCGAAAATACTAAAGCTGGTTGAGTCCAGAACGAGACATTGATAAGGTTGTACTTGTTGGCAATTATTGCAGGCCATGCAGTAATAGTGTCTGCAATCAAGAAATGGACCGAATCTGGATCGGATTGGATCGTCTTTCCGACAAATTCATCGATCGTACCTGAACGATCGAGCGATATGGATTCCCAGTGCTCCTCGAGGTGGAGACCTCGATCGAATTCGGAAGGAAACCCGTCTTTAATTGTTGTGTAACGTATGTCAAGACCTGATTCACGAGCTTCGGAGAATAAATCGAGTTTCGGTAGTTTTTGATGAAGAAATTCGTAATGAACGAAAGTGACGGAGAAGCCACTTGAAGCAAGCTTGAGAGCAAGGCTGGCAAAGGGGTTGATATGGCCTTGGTATGGGACTGATATCATAATAGCATGGGGCTTGTATTTACTCTCAGCCATTGATTCTAACTTTTGCTGTAGAGAGCCTTTGTTATTATTACATGACATTTTCTTGAATGAATTTCAGACAATTTATATGTTAAGGAATGAAGCAAAAATGAATTTGAACAAAGACCAAAGTTTTGTATTGTTGACTTGTCTTAGTTCAAAAGCTGTGTATTGTTTTAGTCAATACTGTTGTGCGCAGTTGCGTCTAGACATTGCGTCTAGACATGGCCACGGGTCGGGTCTGACCCGGACCCGACCCATTGACTGCCCCGCCCCGCCCCGGCCCCGACCCGTTGACCATGGACCCGGCCAAGTATGGGTCGGTTTCGGGTCCCGACTTCTTGGACCCGAGACCCGCCGGGTCTACCCGGCGGGTGGACCCGAAACCCGGACCCGAGGGCCCGGCCCGAGGACCCGTTGGGTCCACCCGGATTTCTGATGAAATAATCACCAAAAATGCAGCTTCTGGGTTTCGAACCCGGGAAACCCGAGTGGATTAGTAAGCACTAACCACTCGGGCAAAGTAACTTATTGCAATATTAATCTTAACTATAAATATATAATTATAAATAATACTATAAAATAATTATAACAATTGAATAACTAATGTTAATAAATTATTAATTGTCAGGTTCGTTATCTTTAATATTAAAAATCTCACCTAATAACAAATACATATATATTTAAAAATCTCCACTAATAACAAATGCATATATAAATAATTACGATTTAATTTAAAAGAAAGATTGAATTTTGAAATTTTTTTTAGTTTTGAAATTATGAAACATTTCTCATATTAATTATTATTAAATAATTTTAATTAAATAATTAACAAATGCAATATAAGAAACTTTTAAAAAAATATATAGAATCACGGTTCAATACATCAAAACATCTATTATTAATTACTATATCAATATAATCTCCACTATTGAAAAATATAAAGTATTGAATCAATTCAATATATAAACAAATGCGTTGACTTATTACAAATTAACTTATGTTATTAAAATCGATAGTGTGAAAAAATCGATTGAAAAATAAAATAATATGTTTATTTAAAAAAATAGATTATAACTCATTTCAATTAATTTAAATCGATTTACCTCAATTATTGACAAGAACTTATTAATATTATTGAGGATTTTATTATAAGATAATTATTTAAAAATATAAATGATGTTTGTTTTAACAAAAATAGATTATATCTCATTTCAATTAATATTCTTACTTTAAAAATAACATTATATATGACTAGTATAATCAAAATATTATAATGTGATTTCTCTTTAAATAATTGGTTTAGTTTGTAAAAATCGTAAGAATTAAATCGTAGATCATATGATTTAATCTTTTTTTTTTTACATTTACATTTTATTCAAATATTAGAATCGAATCGAATCGTAAGATTTAAATGGATTAATCTAAAGTCCTTTTAATTTTGATATTATATTTGTTAATAATGTAATTAAAATTATTTAATAATTATGAATATGATAATTAACAATCCATTTAACATTATTTATTAAATCATTTTATACTGTGTTTATCTGGTATATTTATATTTCTTGCAAGTAATTTACCAAATATTTATCTTGTCACAGTGGTTCGGATTCCTTTTCAAGTGCGTTACAACCCAGGTTCGAACCCCATTTGAAGCATATTTTGGAAAAAGTTTCAAAATCCGGTTCAGACCCGGCCCGACCCGGAACCGACCCGGACCCGGGTGGACCCGAGTGGACCCGCCCCGGACCCGGACCCGCCTCCCCGCGGGTCGGTTTCGGGTCCTCCAAAACTCGGACCCGGACCCGGCGGGTCCGACCCGGACCCGGACCCGACCCGACCCGGGGCCGTGTTTAGTTGCGTCCATGGATTAGGTCCTGGACAACAATTGTGGGCCCCGCAAACTTGGCTTGTAGAGAGTTTCCCAATAAAAGCATTTATTTTCGTGCTTATCTTTTTTCTTAGGGTGTACATTTATTAGATACAACTAGTACTACTCGTGCGATGCATGAGGATATTCATCGTGAAAATAAATATTTGATTAGTAAAGAAGTCATCGAAGCAGTAAGACGAGATAGTAATATCGAAGAATAAAAAAACAATTCCGTTTGGTGTAAGTAGTTAATTAAGCTAAAATAGATGAAAATGATGAATTCAATTTCGTATATGAAAAGCGAGTGCATCATTGGTCCCAATGCATACAATTATAATGTCCAATTAATTCAAATTCTTCACTCGACCCAAATTAATTATTAAAATTGTGTTTGAAACTGCCTTAATCGCATGTCGAGTCCAATAGTCAAGGTAATATAATTGAAAACAAACTTTGAATAGTTACTATTTAATAAGATGTAATCTAAAACTTATAAAATAATATCCATTCCGTTGGATTTAAGTACCGAATTTAACAAAATAAACGGTAAAGAAAAATATAACAAATGAAAATTGTTATACAAAAAAGTAAGATACATTATCTGAACCAACGGGTATAACTATCTCGTTCAATGCACTCGAATTATTAGACATAAAACTTAGTTATCAAGATGATCAACTACATCTCTAGTTGGTCATTGTCTAACGACATTAGAAGCTGTCCGAATAATTTTCGCCCTCAAATCGTCGATAAATTGAACAAAGTTTCTCTCGGACGATCCATCAATTTCGACTGCGTTTCGCAACATCTTCTTTACATTGTCAACTTGTTGCCGCAATCTCTCTGAAATAGTTCCACTCATTAAGCTTTTAATCTTCTCAGCAACTTCTTTCCTATCAAGAAATGATTTAATTACATAATTATCACAAAGGTTAATCCCAATCTTCCAATCATCAACCTCTAGTTTCCGATTCGTAACTTGATCGAAGTCTATAGGATAGCAGATCATCGGAACCCCACACCACATGCTCTCCACCGTCGAATTCCAACCGTTATGCGTCAAGAACCCTCCGACGGCTCGATTCGAAAGAATCTTAATTTGATCGCACCTCGGAATAATCAACCCTCTATCCTTAATTCTAATCTCATCCTCAAATCCAAACGGTAAAACGTCATTATCAGACGAACCAACGATACATCCCGGTCGAATCACCCATGTTGGCGCCAGATTTCCACCAAGGAAGAAATCCGCCTCACTTGGGAAGTAAAGATTGGCTAAAGATTTGTTCCCATGTTTATTTTGGAAATTCAGAGTCCTACCTTTGTAATACTTTAGGACTTAGATTTATTTCCTTGTACTTTACTCTTGTTATGAATCTTTTATAGTTATCTAGATTAGAACTGGATTGACTAGGATTCTGTTTCCTAGTTATTCGGTTCCTTTGGAAGACAGGTCTTTGGAGGCCGATCTCACGCCTATATAAGGCTCCTCACCTCACAAAGACTGCGACACTTTTTTGGGAGAAAAATCACTCCATAGCTTTGAAGAATCGCTGAAACGTTCTGCTGAACAGAACTGTGCCATCGTTGGATGTGTCAACATATAAAGATTTGCTGTATAGATCTCTTGAGAGATCAACCGCGTCACTGAAGGGAGTTCAGGCCAGAAAGGAGTTCTAGGCACGCGGTGTGGAGCTGCTGTGGAAGAAACACGAAGTTTAAGTTGTGTGCAAGAACGGCATATTACATAAAGGAGTCTTTAGTGTTTTTATTAAGTCCTATTAATGTACACTATAAATCTGAACTAGTGAAATCGTGTTTGCAGGTCCACGTGGATGTAGGGCACAATTGTGTCTGAACCACATTAATTCTTGTGTTCTGTTTATTTACTTTAAGTAGAGTATAACTGTGCCAACACAAGATTTACAGTTGTAACTGAATACTGTTTCCACAACTTAACTGTTACAACTTAGGTTAATTGATTTCTATAGGCATATAAATCATCAACCCAAATGAAGTTCACTTCACTAAGAAGAATACCATAAGCCACTTCTTCAATCACCTGCTTACTTATCCGAACAAAGCTCCCAAACGAAACGTACAAAACCGACCCCGTTGGCTTGGATTCGAGCCAGCTGGCGCAGTCCGATTCCGGCAGTAAACTCTAGCTGACGGCCGTAGCGCTTGTCGGAAGATTCTTGGAGAAATTAACAGGGCCGATAGCATAATTTGGTTGGTAATTGCTGAGAGCCGAGATTGTCTCGGATTCTAATTCTTGAACAGTGTTGTGTAGGATAAAATCGGCCTTCTTTACTTGCTCGAACGCGACGGATAAGATTCTTGTTATTATACTTTGATCATCAGATTCCATCATAAATGGCATCAAGTCTTTCGTGCTTATTTTTTGAACACCCGGAACATAATCTATTTCCTCCACCGTATTATCTGTGACATCCAATTTAATCAGAAATAGAACCTCGATAAATTAATAACCTCGCTTAAATAATAAATTCTTCCGGTCCCAACTCGGTGAGAAAGTGCTAAATTATTAACTCAGATAATTTAATATTTCCCTAAATTAATAGAATTTCCATAGTCCCGACTGTATTAATTTATCGAGGTTTGACTGTACTGTACGCACCTTTACATGGAAAATGACCGTTTTTGGCGAGAAGACGAGAGTGATAAATCAAAGAGAAAACCAATGCTGGTCCGGTCCAAAATGAAACATTCACAAGGTTGTGTTTCTTGGCTGAAACACGTTGTTAGTTTTACAAAAGTGTTTTTTTTTTTTAACTCTCTTACTTTTAAAACTAAATTTTAGTTATTATTTAGTGGGCTAAGTGTTATGACTTAGTGGGCTAAGTAGTGATTAGTGGGTCTAATTGTGGATTTTATTCTAACTTCCTAACTAACCCACTAACCCATTATCTTGAGTGCTCTTGTGGTTGGTTTCCTTGCAGATCATGGGCTGAGGAGTGGAAGCTTGGCAAGTCTATAAATACCAAACTCAAGACTCAAGAACATTACAGATTTCGAGGAAACAAAATAGAGAGCTGAAGTTTTAATCTCGAGAATTTTAGAGTGTTTCTAGGATCTGTTGTACGTACTCCTTATGAGTACATTCTTTGAAATCTAGAATTTTTAATATTTTTCTTTTAGTATCTAGATTTGATTGTAAGAATGATCATGAGAATGATTCATTCATAAGGAAGAAGTTTTCGCACCTCTTCTGTTTGTATTCTTGGAATACTGATTTTAATAGATTTTTCCGTCCTGTAAAGGGCAAGTTCACAAGTCTTTACTTGTGAACATTTTTAATTCTGAGCATTGTCTTCTAATCTTTATATTTCCGCTGCATGTTTTCTCAAGTGTCACAACACTTCAGATAACATCTCTGTATAATACGAATTCGGGACCATAAATTCTTTCAATTGGCATCAAGAGCCAACACTTGACGTATACTAAGTGTTTGTTCCTATTTTCTTTACAGAAACGAATTCGTGATGGATACTCAGATGACTGCTTCTATGCGACCTCCTGTACTTGATGGCACAAACTACACCTACTGGAAAGTCAAGATGAGGGCGTACATCAAAGCCATTGATGAGAGAGCCTGGAGATCTATTCTCACTGGATGGAAGCCACCAACTATCACAGACGTGGACGGGGATGTGTTTCCAACTCCAGAATTAGGGTGGACACCAGATGATCTTGCAAATGCTAACCAAAATTCAAAGGCGTTAAATGCAATTTTCAATTCAGTAGATTTAACAATGTTTAAATTAATCTCTGTATGCACTTCTGCGAAGGATGCTTGGGAAGTTCTTCAGCTACATTGTGAGGGATCAGATAGTGTCAGAAGAACCAAACTCAGATTACTCTCTTCCAAATTTGAGAGACTGAGAATGGAGGAAACTGAAACAATTTCTCAGTACAATGAGAAGTTGATTGATTTGGCTAATGAATTTCAATCCTTAGGTGGTCCCTTGAGCAACGAGACACTGGTGAATAAGATATTGAGAACTCTTCCAGAAAGGTTCAACATGACGGTTACTGCTATTGAGGAGGCTAAAGATACATCATCTCTACGGCTGGACGAATTAATTGGTAGTCTAAAGTCTAGAGAGATGAACTTCGAAGATCAAAGAAAGGAGAAAGGAAAGGCTATCTCAAATGCACTCCAGGCAGAATTAGAAAAGGAAGATGCTGCTCTGGAATATGATGATGATGCAGAAGAATGTCTCAACAATGTGGCATTTCAAATTCAGAAATTTAATAGGGCGTACAGACGAAGTGGAATCAAGCCCAGACAGTTATTTCCAGAAGGCTCTTCACAAAATCGACAAACTCAGCCTCGGAACAGATCTATTCCACAGAGAACATTTCCTCAAACATCCTCTCAAAACACTTCAAAAAATTCTTCATTTATTCGTTCAAATTCTGAACCACCTAACTTGGATCATATTAAATGCAGGACATGTTCAGGATTTGGACATTATGCTAATGAATGTGCAAATACCTTGAGAAGAAGAGGAATGAGTCTGATTTGTGCAGTCAGTGATGAGGAGGAAGAGCAACCTGAACAGACAGAGGAACAGCAATCCTCTAAACAAGCTCTTTCTGTCAGATATCTCACTGGAAGTGCCTCTGAAACAGAATCACAAGGAGTTCCTCTGGATGCTGCAACACTTTCTGAAACACCTTCAGTAACTGAAATTTCAAAGTTTAATACTGATCATTATACATGTTTAAACTCTATTTCTTTGAATGCAGCAGAATCCAGTAATGAAGCAGTTAGTGATGAGGAAGAAATGTGTAAGAAGCTGATCAGCAACTTGGAGAAAAAGACTCAAGCTCTAGATGCAGCCAACAAGGAAAATTCTTCCCTTAAAGAAACAATCACACATTTGGAGGTTGGTATCACCAAGAAGGATCTTGAACTGGCAAAGGTGAAAGATGAACTCAAAGAAGCAACTCTAGCAATCAAGAGGATGAATACCGGCACAACTAAACTCGAAGAGATTGTGTCACTGGAAAAGTACAACAAAAAGGAAGGTCTAGGGTTCAAGAAACAAGTGAAGAAACACAAGCCAGTGAAGAAAAAAGAAATTGTCTTTGTCAAAGAGAAGGGTTCAGATGGCAAGGAATCCAGGAATTTCACAGTCACCACTTCAGAGTCCAGAATAAGGGGATACATTTGTCATTACTGTTTCTCACCAGGACATATTCGTCCATTTTGTGAAAAACTCAGTAGTGACAAAATGTTGCACAAAATGAGCCACATCACTCCAGGGAACACCTCAAAGAAAAAGGTAGAATTTACCAAAAAGGAGTGTAAAATATGGACTCCCAAAGGTAAACTTTTGTGCAAAGCAGTATACACCTCTTTAAATGCTAACATTTCAGGTTCATGGTACTTTGATAGTGGATGCTCTAGGCACATGACTCGAACAAAGGAATTTCTATCAAACTACCACACACTTAATGGAGGACGTGTAACCTATGGAGGATGAGCTAAAGGCAAAGTGGTTGGACGTGGAACACTCAGTATTGAGGGACTCCCAAAACTTTCAAATGTCCTACATGTTGAAGGATTGGGGTCAAACCTCATCAGTATCAGTCAATTGTGTGATGATGATCTACGTGTGGAATTTGATAAATACTGTTGTTCTGTGTTTGATAATCAAAATCATTGTGTACTTACAGGTTCCAGATCAATGGATAATTGCTATCAAACATGTGACATCATCTCATGCAAGAGCTCAAAAGTAAGTGAAGTAGAGCTGTGGCACCAGAAACTAGGACACACAAACTTCAAAAATCTGAAGCTGCTCAACAAATACAATGCCATAAGAGGAGTACCAGATCTCAAGATCAAGGATATTCCTATATGTGGAATGTGCCAGAAGGGAAAGCAAACCAGAGTACCACACAAAGTGTTGCAACACGTTGGTACCACTATTTGTTTTGAACTTGTACATATGGATCTTATGGGTCCTATAGAGGTAGAAAGCCTAGGTGGTAAAAAATATGTCTTTGTATGTGTTGATGATTTTTCAAGATATACTTGGGTGTATTTTTTAAGAGAAAAATCAGACACTTTTGAGGTGTTCAAAAATCTGTACAGGTTTGTTAAAACTCAATTTCAAGTTTCTGTTCGTAGAATCAGATCTGATCATGGAAAAGAATTTGAGAATGCTTTATTTCTTGCTTTTTGTAATAAAAAGGGTATAAAAGCATGAATTTTCTGCTCCAAAAACTCCTCAGCAAAATGGCATTGCTGAAAGAAAAAACAGAACCATCCAGGAAATGGCTAGGGTGATGATGAGTGCAAAAAATCTGTCTAAAAGGTTTTGGGCTGAGGCTGTCAACACAGCCTGTCACATCTCAAATCGTGTGTATCTAAGATTAGGGTCCATGATGACTTCATATGAAATTCTTTATGGTAAGAAACCTAATCTAGAATACATGCATGTGTTTGGATGTGTCTGCTATGTTCTAAATGATAGAGATCATCTAGCTAAATTTGATTCAAAAAGTGATTTGAGTTTGTTTATGAGATACTCTAACAATAGTCATGCT